CCGCCAGAGCCGCACCGATGCCAATTTTGCTGCCGGGACCCCCCCCCCCCCTCCCCCTCCCCCCGTCGGACCGCCAGAGCCGATGCCAATTTTGACCGCTCCCAGATGAGCGAGCGATAATGTTTTCGGCCGAGCACGGTGCGATCGCGCTAACCGCTATACGATCGGCCGGCGCTTCCTGCTCTGTACTACATGCGCTGAGAGTCGCGGATACACGTGTGGGGTCTGTCTCTTTGGTCCCAGTTTTGGAGTTGTGTGTTCTCTCGGCGCTCATGCGTGTTCGCGCCCCAAGTCCATGAAAAGCCATGCAAATGACTAGTTGCAAAAAGTCTCACGTGGAAAACCTATAGCAAAAACTGCGAAAAACGCTGTCACGAAAAAGTGACATAGAGCACCCACGTTTTAAGCGTTCTGTGCACACACAAGGTCCGTCCGCGTGCACCGCCAGCTTCCCAGGGCCATAGCGCGAAAAACGAAGGAGGAGATGCATCCTAGCTGTCGCCACCGAAGGCGACTCGACGCCGCTGAGATCGGAGATCAAGCTCTGACAGGTCACACGTCGCTCCTTTGACGCCGACGTGACTCACCCGTGCAGAGCGCATCAGGACACGGTCTCGACGCGCTCGGTACGACGCCTGCGACCCGTCTCGGGTCAGGTGGCACGACGCTCATCGCGCCCGCCAGCGCTGCCGTGCAGGTTGCCACGACGAGGTGGAACCACATGTGCATGCTACATGTACATGTGCATGGACATGCGCATGTCACGGCCACCGCCGGCTCGACGCGACGATAGCCTCCGGAGGCTGACTTTGAGGCACCATCATCGGACGATGTCGACGAGCTGGGTCGCTCTCGCGGTAGCCAGGTAGCCCCCCATACTAGTAGCACCAGCCATGGCCTCACGGAGCGCGGGCGAGGGCGCTGGGAGCAACACGGACAAAAAACATCAAAATTCATCATTATCACAGCACCCGTATTTGCAACTAGTCGCCATAAATAATGACTAAAACATATGCGGGTGTATACCGTGCCATTCCAGGTTCAGCGAGATGGCTTCAGATGGCGCGCTTTCGGTTTGAGACCAGTGGAGTCCCAAAAAATGGACACGTGCGGAGTCCCTTACATTCCAGCCGCGTGGGCGAATCGGAGAATCAGTTTTGTTATTGTTTTGGGTTTCACTGTCTGTCAAGAGTCATGAGATGGATACCATACCTCCATCACGCATCATCAGCCCCTCGAGCGCGCCCCGCGAGCAGTTCACCCTCGGGTATGTTCGTAAGATCAACATACGACCGTACACTGAAAAAAGGGAGAAGAGGAATGGGGGAGGGGGGAAAGGGTCCGGTTTAAGGGCGTAAGGGCGCCGAAAAGGGCTTAGGCTGAACAAGCTTTTCCTCTCGCACCCCGTCTCTTTTCCTTTCCTTTTTTCTCTACAGCACCCTCTCTTTTCCTCTCTATTTTCCCGGGGAAACCATCAAATTTTCTGGGCTCTGAGCCGAGTCTGAGGCTGGTTTGGGCCCAAAATCAGCCAAATCGGCAAAATACCGGGGATTTTGCGGGTATACCTGGAAACCCCCGGGTATACCTGGAAAATACCCTGCGACCGCCTGGGTGTCGTGCCGATTTCCTCAATTTTGCGTCAGATTTTGCCCCAGAGCCCAGACCAGCTCTCAGACTCAGTCAGGGAAACTCGCGAGTTTCCAGAATGGAGCACCAAACACCCTCTGTTTTCCCTGGCAATTTCCGGAAACGCAAAGTGCTGGGGACCCTCTGTTTTCCTTTTTGTTTGCCGGAAAAGCTTGTGCAGGCCAAAAAAAAAAGGGCGCGCTCATCCGTTTCACCCCAGCTGAAGGATGAGCGGCGAAGCAGGGAGGAGCTGGATACACCGGCCGCTCGCATCATGGCGCGTCGCGAGAGCCGCGCCGCGATGCCGGACCGGCTCAAGGTGGCGGCGCAAGGAAAAGGAGCGCGCGCATACTGGGGAAGACAACACGTGAAACTGCACTGAGACCGCCCGCCGACGACGACGCGAACCCCTCGCTCGGCAATGTGCGTCGCGGAGTCCTCGAGTGTGTCGGTGCCAGCCGCAGCAACGAGGACGGCTGGCCCAAAGCCCAATGCGAGGCGCTACCAGCGTGTCGAACGCAGGGCGGGCCAAAAAAACGCGAGTGCCACTGCCACGCCAGCCCGGATCGCCGTCGGTGCTGCCGCAACGCTGCTTGTCGTTGCCACTCTGGCTGCGACACAGGCACTGGTCGCTGCATGGTTAGACGCTGTCTTACTGCCATCGCCTCCATCAGCGCCACCGCCTCCGCCTCCGTCGCTCCCCCCCTTCCCTCCATTCCCGCCACCGCCACCACCACCGTCGCCATCTCCTCCTCCACCGCCGCCACTGCCGCCCCCGCCGTCGCCGTCGCCGCCGCCGCCGCCGCCGCCGTCGCCCCCGCCGCGACGAATCTTTGGCGCGGTTGCGACGATGCTCAACGACCGCTTCCGCGGCGCACGCGCCACCAACAACCTCACTACTGCGGGCGTGATTGTGCGCGGGCTCGACTCGTCCTCCGACCCGGACCGGCCTTGGATGGCCTGCACGACGAATTGGTGCGCACGGCACGGCGACCATTTCTCCACCTCCCTCGTCTACCCCGGCCACGCCGCCTCCTATGGCCCGATTGGCTTTGTGATCGACCCCACTCTTGTGGAGCTCAACTGCGCTCAGCACCCTAGATGCGTGGTTGTAGCCGCTCTCGCCTGCATCCGGAATCGCTAGGTGGCTCGCATGGCGCGTCTCCGCTGACTCAGCCTTCTCCCCTCGCCCTGCAGGCGCCTACCCCGGCGACGGCGGCTCGCAAAACACGCCGCAGGGCTGCAAGGGGGAGTGCGACCTGAGGCCAGGGTCGCCGATGCGAGGGAACTGCATGTACAGGCCGCAGCACCTGTACCTGATGCTCGAGCGCCTCCCGCCCGACACGTCCTGCAGACGGGGGTGCAAGGACCAGGGGATGAACGAGATTGTTTTCGACCCGACGGCCTGGCAGAGAAACATGCCGCGGACCATCGTGGCGATGTTCCATAAACGCGGCGCGGCGGGCGAGGACCCTCGGGGCAGCGTGTCAGCCATGCACCGCAAGTTTGTCGCCGAGTACGGCCTCAAAGGCTCGGATGTGCCGCTGCTACGCTACGAACCCTCCGATTTTGTGCAGCCGTTTTCTGACGCATGACCATCTCAGTTGTCCGACGTGCGACGACGAGATAGAGGTGCTACGTGTGCTAGAGCGAGCTGTGCTCTATTCGTTGAGAGGTCTGAGAGGGAGGCACCTATCGGGGAGGAGCTCCGTCGTTCTGCACGATCTTGCGGGGTGTGACGTGTGTCGTGTGTGGTGTGGAGCGCGCGGGATCGTGAGTTCCGAATTCCGTGTTCCGACCGTCGCTCTTCACACCACACACCACACCACACACACACACACACACAATTATTTACTTCATTTTCCTCCCACACCACACAATACGTAATTCATGTAGAGCGCTCCGCAGTCAGGCCAATAGAGGGCCTTCGGAGCAGGCGCAGGTTCGAGCGCGCGTCCGGGGCCGTCGTGGCGCCACGCGTGGCCGGAGGACACACCTGGGAGAGGGCCGACATACACATGATGAGTGCGGCACCAACCTCTGAGCACTTCCCCTGCCATCCTCTGGCGCCGTTGACGGCGCGCGGCTCAAGCCAACCTCGCGGCGGCCATCCCCGCCTCCAGTCCGCGCCCCTCACCGCCCGCCCACCTCGCCACCCGAGCAAACGTAGACGGGCTTGCCATAATAGTCGGAAAAATCGCTCGACTGTTTGCAGCCGTCGTAGCCCATGTCGCGCGAAGCGCAGAGGTACATGTACTTGCCCCCGTGTGTCCCGACAAGGTGGCAGGCCTCCTGCAGCTCTGCCCACGGCGGCAGCGGCATCCGCAGGTCCGCCTGCAGCCAGCCGAAGCCGCGCGATTTGCCTTCGGCGGCCGCGCCCTCGTCCAGCTCGCTCAGGAAGGCCTCAGGAGAAGAGAAGAGGTCGAGGCCGAGCTTGACGGCGAGGAAGATGGCGCATGCTGCGAGAAGAGAGTGATCGGCAATGAAGCTCCCGCCGCCGCCAGGATCAAGCATGCTTGCCGGCGGCGGGCGGCGGGCGGGAGGTGCGGCGGCGGCAGGGGCGAGCGGCGCCATGAAGGCGCGCTTGGGTGCCACTGCCGGTGCGACGAAGGAGTGCGCGGCTGAAATGATAGCAATCATATGGCAAAGGCTCAGCTGGCGGGCAAATCAGTGATTGGGCCGGAGTCGCGCGTGTGTTTTTCTCGCTTTTGCGGGCCCCATGCTGAAATTCTGCGCGCACCGTCGAGCTGACGGCGGGCGCGCTGCGGTCGCACGCCAAGCCAAGTTATATGCCAGTGGCAAGCGACCTAGAATCGGCTCACGCGCCTCTACTCGCATACGCTCACCCATAGAATTGTCACCGCCAGTGAGTGCGAGATAGGGCTAGCGGCTGGCGGCTAGCCTCTGAGGAGAGTGACCAGAGACACCTCACACGACCCCACACACGGTCTAGTCCGGCCTCGCGGTCGGCGGAGATTGCTAGAGGCCGAGCAAGCCTGCTCTAGCCTCACGTTCGCCCCTGTTGTCTGTTGTTTGTTGTGCCCTTGTTTGTTCTCTTGGCACCTGGGAGTGCTGGGGGGGGCGACAGGGAGAATGTGGCCCTGAGTTATGTGTACGCCAACTCAGGGTGTGTGGCAGCCAGCTGGCTGTGTGTCTTGTGAGCCTGTTTGTGTCTGTGTGTCGCTCGTGCGCGTGTCGTCATCATCTGTCCCGCGTCCACCCATACCGCGTTGGTGTCCAGTCCGAGCCTGACTGTTGTTCATCTTTCTACATACATAATTCTGCAAAAACCTGGCCGGCCCCTGCTTTGCCCCTACCTACCTACCTACCTACCTACCTTACTTATGGGAAACTAAAAAAGAAATCACGCGATGGGTGAAGGTGGGGTACTATACCAACTAGAGTGATGGTTGGGGAGAGAGAGATTTTTATTAACCAACAAGAAAGACTCTCACAGATGGTTGGTGGTTGGTGGTACTCTCCTGCAACCACAGTCCTTCTTGTGACATGGCAGGCCACTCTCAAGCCCTACAAGCATCAGATCATCTCTCTCTCTCTGTGAGTGTTAGAGTTGTTTGGTATTGCTAAAAATCTCAAACAACAAAAACGTGTGAGTGTTAGAGTTGTTTGGTATTAAAAATCTCTCTCCCCCATTTGGGGAGGGTTGTGTGATTTGGGCTCGGCAGCTTAAAAGAAAGAAAGAAAACAGACAACCCAAGGGAGGGATGGGAGGACGGCACGCCGCCACCAGCTTGTTAGCTAGCCCTCAGCCGAAGCTGGGGCCTTCTTTCGAGGGTTGACATCGTGATTTCACCGAAAAGTTCTTTTTCTGAAAATTCCAGCTTGAAGAGCGGGAAAACCCCGACGGGAGGGCCCAGACCTACCCTACCTACCCCGGCATGAGGCCCGCCGAAGCAGAATAACACAGAAGAAAAAGAAAGACTCCGGCTCAGCACTTCTGCGCTGGCATGTTCCGCTCGAACGTGTGTCGGTCATCGGTCATAGCCATCTAGGGCGATGTTTTCGCTCCTCCTCGTTGCGCTTGCGGCAAAGCGGCGGTGGGACGACAGCGACGTGGCGCAGGGTCGGGGCGGTGCTGCGAGAGGCCCGCGCGTGGCGGTCGTGCTCGCCGGCCCCGCCCGCACCCTCGCGACCCGCTCGGTGGTGCGCGGCCTCAAGAGGCACGTTCTCAGCTCGAGCCTGTATGATGCGACGCTCTTTGCGGCGCTCACGCTCGACGCTCCGCTGCCTGACGTCCCTCTGTCCGGCTACAACGCCTCCCTCCTTCGAGCGCTCTCCGCCCAGTCGCTCGTCGACCGAGCGCTCGGCTTCCTCGCGCCCCGCGCCTTGGCCTTCTTCAACGCGTCGGACGCCGTCGCCTCGATCGGCCGGCGAGCATGCAGCGGGATCCCAACGCCGCCGACCGCCTTGCGAGGCGCTGCCTCGCCGCCGAGGACCGGACTTTAGGGCCCCACCGGAGGCGTCCCGGTGCCTTCCTGCAGGCCCGCTCGCCACCAAGCACGAGTGGGTGGTCGAGCTGTACGCTGCGCAGCTCGGCTTCTCGCTCCTCCGCACCGACGAGATGGCCTCCGGCCTCCGGTGCCGCCCTCCCTCCACACACCACACACCCGCGCACGCACACACAGACACTCGCGCGCACACACACCACCGCCACCGCCACCGCCGCCGCCTCCGCCGCCGCCTCCGCCGCCGCCCCCGTCGGACGCGCACCGCAACAGTGACATCCTCCAGCGCCGACCGCAGCAGGGCCGTGCGGTACTCCCGCCGCTCCACCCGCAGCGCAGTCGCGCGAGGGCCACTGAGCCGTGGCCGCTGCCGCCGCGCCGCAGGTACATGTTCGTGCTGCGGCTCCGCCCCGACCTGCTGTTCCGAGGCCCGCTCTTCTCCGCCGTCCAGCCCGCCCCGAACGTCTCGGTCACCTTTTCGGACTCCTCCGCCCCCATCCTCCTCTCGGAGCACACGGTGGGCCAAGCAGAGAGGGAGCCGAGATGCAGCAGAGAGGGAGCCGAGATGCAGCCGAGATGCAGCCGAGGCGTCCCGCCACCTGTGCTCAACCATCCATCCCGACCACTCGTGCCCTGCACCCATGCACGCTAGGTCGCGGCGCCGCCGGACCGCGCCTCGGACTTCGCCGTCCTTGGCGCGCATGCGGCGCCCGCCTACTTCAACGCCTTCGGCGCCGCGGCATCGTGCGCGCTCGCGCCGCCCTTCGCCCCCGCGGGCTGCCACTCGGCAGCCAGCGTCGGCGCTTGCTTGGCGGCCGCTCCGCCGGCGCCGCGGCACCCTGTCGGGGCGCTCCAGAAGCCGTCTCCTCCCTCGTGCACAGGTGGCCGCGCAGATGGCGCTGCACGCCGCGAAGGTCGCCACGGCGCCGCCCGTCGCCGTCCCGGCCGCCGCTTGCCTCGTCAACATCAGCGGATCCGGCTGCACCGGCGGGGCGTGGGGCGCTAGCGAGGCTTGCGCCGTCGTGCCCGTGCCGCCGCCGCGCGAGCTGCGCGCCGGCGCTTGCGTGACGCACCGCGACGTGCTGCGCGTCGCCGCCGGCGCCGCCTCCCGACCCGCTCGCGACGAACGAAAGCAAGTCCCTCAAACCCACCCATGGTGCTCAGCAGGCGCCGCCTCCGACCCGCTCGCAGACGTCGCAGACGCGGAGGCCGCCGCCGCTGCTGCCGGCGGCGGCGGCGTGATCGCTCGCGTGCTGCTCGCTGCCGCCGCGGTGGTTCTTCTCTGGCCTCCCCTCCGCCACCGCGCCGCCACGAGATTGCTCGCCGCGGGCGCCGCCGCCCGCGAGGCGGCGGCGCCGTTGCGCGAGGCCGCCGCGCCGCTGCTCGACGCCGCCGCCCCCGCGACCGCCGCGGCTGCAGCGGCCGCGGCGCCTTGGGCGAGGTTTGCGGCGCCGCATGTCGCTTCTGCGGACGCCAGCTTCCGGCGAGGTCTATCGGCGATGGACGAGTCCGTCGTGGGCGCGGCGGCGGCGGCGAGGCTCGCCGTCGCCCGCGCCGTCGCGGCGCTGCCGCTGGAAGAGTACGCGCCGTGGGCGGCGCAGGCCGCGCGCAAGTCTGGCTTCGGTTTGGAGGAGGGCGAGTACGCGCCGCTAGATGCGGGGCACGCGGATCCGTGGCGCACCAACTAGCGCCCCCGGGCTGCGCGCTGGTCCTTCACTCACACGCTCCAGTCTTGGGCAGCCTTGGTGCTCACGCGATGCTCCCCGCACAGTACACGAGGCTGTCTGCGCACCCCGTAGGTACGCGTCGTTGCGCACGGGTGAGGAGTCCGCCGCTGACACGCCAAAGAGCGAGGGCGGGTCGCTCGCGCCGAGCGACTTTGCCTTCAACGACAAGAGCTAGGTACTCTTTGGCCCCAGGCGGCGGGTCGCTTTGGTGAGAGGAGGAGCCGAACGCGCGGGGCGCAGGGGGGGCAGTCCGTGCAACCATTATGGTGCGAAATCTTGTGCAGAGGCCACAGCCTCAGGGTACCCTATGAGGTGGCTAAGTGAGGGTCTCTGGGACCCACCCAGATAGTGTTTTTCAACTAACGGAGGCCTTTGGGGGCGACCCGGGGGCACCTCGGGGTCGCAGTAGCCCCTGACGGTCGAAACCGGACCCCGCGACGCCCGGGCCGGTCTGCCTCTGCGGTCACCCGCGCCGCGCGCGCCCGCGCCCGCGCGCGCGCGCCTCGTTTACGCGAACCGAACCACGTTCGTGCGGTGGAGGAGTGGTCCTTGATTGTCGTACATGTGTGTTTGCGTGTGCGTCGCTGTGGTGTCCCTGAACGACGCTGCCCCGGTGGACACGGCTGTGCACCGGGCTCGTGCACTAAGTTTTGTCTCCAGGGGGCCACTCTGTGGCGCGGATGGGGGCGCGAGCCGCCATCTTGGACTGTGAGGCGAGTATTTGCAACCGGGAGCTCGCCGCCGCCCCTACACCGCCGCGGCCGCCCTCCCGATGCGTCGAGAGTCGACTCTCGACTGCTGAGAGAGTTCATCCCACCATCAGCACCGTATTCGCCCACAGCATGCCATGAGATTCATATAGGTCTAGTGTACACATCAGCTCAGCGAGACCAATATCTCCAGCCTCCTTCATCTTGGCTGCTGCTTGGGAGCCAACACCTGTGCAAGTGAGTGTCAGAGTGTCGGAACTCGGTGGAAGCATCCGTCATCATTCACGTTCACACGACTCTTCACACTCGCTCGAAAAAGGTGAACTTTCGTTTCACATGAAATGTGAAGTGAAAGTGAAAGTGAAACCGATTCGCTGGGTGCCCCCCCGCGATCCGCGAACAACCTCTGTAAAGGTCTTCGCCGAGTACCTCTCGACCGAACGGCTCCCAGTGCACGGCGAGCCGCTGAGGCCCGATGAGCGCGACGTTGTGCCAATGGGCGCCGTCGCAGACCTGCTGCAACATCACGCAGTCGCAGAGTTGCAGCACCCGCTGCCCTCCTCTTTGACGGAAGATGCTGCATGCCGAGGCTACGTCGCGGGGGTAGTTGTACCGCAGCGGCGAGCCGGCGCCACTCTCGCCGTCTGGACGCTCGTCTACGTAGTGTGCGTTGGCGAGGTTGTTCGAGTCGCTGAACCACTGCCGGTGGTAAGATGAGATGTAGCCAGCCTCGCCGACGCGCAAGTGGGGCGGTCCCTGTAGCTCTGGCTCCACCAGCTCGACCTCCACCTCCTCGTCGTCGGAGCCGGATCTGCCGGCAAACAGCGCCTCGTCCTCGACCTCGTCCTCCCCTCCCGTCTCTTCTCCCTTCCCGCGGGCTTCCATGTCTGATATGATATCCCACGACACCCCCCCACCCTCGGCGCGGTTGGCAGCGGCTCTAGCCGCCTCGGCGTCCTCGGCTATCGCGCTGCGGCGCCAGCGAGGCGCCTCTGCCGAGCCAATCTGGCTCACATCAGAGACAGGGTTCCACAGCTGTTTCATCGACCATGTCTCCACCTTGGTGAAGAACGGGCACTCCACGTACACGTTCTCCTCCTATGGGCGCCGAGTTCGCCACCCAATTTGTGTTAAAATGGAAGCAGGGCTTTTGGTTCGTTAACTGTAGACCACACGGACGCGCGGCCGGCGGCTGAGAAGGCCACGCAGCCCCTCTTCCTGTAACAGTAGCGGCGATGGCGAGGGGGAGGCGACGGCGAGGCGGATGGAGGCGGCGGCGGCGGCGAGGCGGAGGATGGCGGCGGCGAGGGCGAGGTCGACGGCGGCGGCGGAGACGGCGAGGACGACGGCGGCAGCGGTGAGGGCGAGGCCGACGGCGGCGGCGGCGGGGGTGAGACGTAGGGCGGCGGCAGCAACGGCGAGACGCGGACGGCGGCGGTGGCGCGGGGGAGGCGGACTGCGGAGGCGGTGACGGCGACGCGGACAGCGGCGGCGGCGGCGGCGACCCGAAGGGAGGCGGCCGCGACGCGGAGGGAGGCGGCGGCGACGGCGAGGTATCTACAGGAACGTCGAGGCGGTGGAGCTGGAGCTTGGAGCCGGCGGCCAAGTGGCTAAGGCGAACCGGAAGGGACCCAAGAAGGAATAGAGGCAAGGGCCATGCCAAGACAAGGAATGGATTTGGAGTGCAATCTT